TTTTTTTTTTTTTTTTTACTTTTGAAACACATGAATTGCACCCACATTTTGTCTATATAAATATAAATATAATAAATGTAAATAATAAATAATAAAATATATAAAACAATCATACACACACACACACACACACACACACACACACCCATAGCACACGTACATCTCAGAAACGTCTATTTGATGTACATGTTTACATCTGGAAGACATTTTTAGAGTGTTTGTTTGTCTGCAATACGTCTCTTATCAGATGTTAAATAAACATGTAGAAAATCTCTTTCTGTTTATGATTTAGATGTTTATGATTTAGAACGTTTGTAAAACCTACATCTTATAGATGTTTATCAGATTTTTGTGCACAGCAGATGCTTTCCAGATGACGCGCTCTTTATCTATCTATCTATCTATCTATCTATCTATCTATCTATATTCATGAAAAGTTGAGCTCAGAGACTGTGAGCACATTTGAAAGACTTGAAGTAGGTGAATGTGTGTGCATGTAAGCTCATGACACCGATGATTTACTGGAATACAGTCCCACTGGAGAAGAACTCCCTCAGTTGCCTAGGGAGATTCCCAGTTTGGTGAAGGTTATGTGGTCATTTTCAAGGCTTTGTGTGTGTGTCTGAGCGAGGGAGTGGGAGACAGAGGGGTTGGGTGGGTTGGGGGTCAGGATGCCAGCAGCTGCTCAGTACTGATTGTGTTCCACTTTTGTTCACTGTCCTCCACATCAGCCTGAGGAGAGACAGAAGGGAGAACACCCAAACAGAGATGCTCTCTTGTGTGGGAATACTGATGAGTGAGGGGAGATGAGAGTCAATGAGAGATAGATGCAGGTGCTGGAAGATCTTCCAGGACGTCTGGGCTGCTGCTAATTTAATACACCCTTTGCATCCTGTGATCTTTGTTTGTTGCTCTCGGGGTTAATGTGTGTTCTCAGTGTGTAACTTTGCCCAACAGAAAAAGATGATGAAATATCACTCACATCGGCAACTATATTTAACTGAATCACTTGACAATATTCGACTTCTACACAAAGAATGTACTTGTTTCTGACAAATGTAAGGCTTAAATCAAGTTGAACAGCATGTTTTGTTTTTATTTTTTCCTTTCTATCACTTATAGCTTCACCATTGCATTTTAATGATAATATGGATTTTATCCATTTTCATAGTTCAAATTTAAGAGATAACTGACCAATGATGACGATAATAGAATGAAAATAGACTGCTTCAAAACTGCAGCAAAAAAGTGTTGAATATATATATATATATATATACACACACATAAATACAGTATGTATATATATATATACATACATATATAAGAATAAAGGTCTAAATGATAACAAAGCAGACAATACATATAAAGCATTTTAATATATATTATGTGACAATTATTATATAAAAATTATATATATATATTAGAAATACTATAAATCATGTCACAGTTGTCATTTTCAGCACACCAGACAAAGCTGATTCTTTTTTAGCATTTTTAAAAACAAAATTGAACTTTAGAGAAATAGTATTTCACCTTTTGCAATTTGCACATACTTTTTTTCCTGCCGTGTCATAAAATCCATCTTTAAGAACATATAGAATAGTGTTCTAAATGATAATGACAAGAAAGCATAATATAATATAATAATAATAAAATAGGACTATCTTACCGTTGTAAAATGTAAGTTAAAAAATGTGTTTATTTGTAAATAAAGGAGACAATAATGTCAGGAAGATCTGGAGATAAAATATTTGGCATGTGAATACAATTATGAATGTGATATGTGGCGAAAATAAAGGAAAATCAAGGTAATTAAGCTGCAAATTTGTCAAATTATACAAAAGTGTGAAAATATAATTCAGTTGAGTCTATTAGGATACATAAAATGGTATCCTTTGAAAAACGACTTAGTAAGACAAAATAGTTTTTTTTCTTCTTCAAAATAATTAAAGTTGTCATCCGACGAACACAATGCATCATTATAGGGTGGAAACAACACTGTGGTGTTAATTTTCATGACATTAAAATAAAATAGTAAATAAATAAATATATAGTAAATAAATAAATAAAGAGAGAGGGAGAAAGAGAGAGAGAAATCACAAATTCTCCTGTGATGCATATAAATAAACAGTGAAAAGTGTGTTTGAATATACCTAAGATTTTCTGAAAAATTCACTAAATTTCTACAAGAATCATTACTGATTGTATTTTTTATTTTTTTATTTTTTACAATATTTGTAATAGGCCTATTTCACTACAATCATTACTGATTGTAGTTTTATTTTATTTTATTTTATTTTAATATTTGTAATAGGCCTATTTCACTCTACAAGTGAAAATGAACCTCATGAACCTGAAGTGAAATGAAATTGCTTTTACAAGCATAGAACAGTAGAGGTCTCTCTAACACAGTCTTTTTTCAGTCTCTGGTCTCTGTGGTTGTGAGCATGAGCTGCATGTACTATGTATTATTTATGAGGTGTTAATAGCTTACAAAAACAGATGAAGTATGCACTTTAATTTGATTTAATGAACTGCTTCTAGTTTTTAATGTGTCGGTAACTATCTGCATATTGTTGATTAATAAAACATTGAGTGTGTCGCTTAACCTCTGTTATCACAATAAATTATCCCAAATAAAGGGTGGACAGTCAGTTTATTAAAGTGTTCTTCAGCTAAAATGGCTTTATATATATTTATATATAACCTGAATTCATTGACTCAGAAATGTTGCTCTTTGATTATTTGCCCCTGCTCTTTCAGAGGTATTGTATCCGGAAAGGGCTAAGAATAAATCAAGATCCGCACCTGCAAATTACCCCAGGCATATTAATTATCAATGCTCTCGTGTTGCCAAGGAAAATTCGGCGTTCAGAGGTCATGAATTACTTTTGGTGAATTGAGTGTGCCAGAAAGTTCATTGTGTTCAGTTGCAGAGCACTTGTGTCAATGGGATATCTTTGAGAGCATCGCAGGTGTATTCTCTTCCTTTAGCGTTAAAAAGGCTAATGCACATCAAATAAATCAACACTCATTTAGATTAGAAAAGATTTTCATTAAATGGTTAATGGATGCAGTTTGCTGGTGTAACATCAGTAATTAGTAAAGGCCGTGATTTTGCACGTTTTCTATTTTTTTATCTGACCATCGCATGTCCAGATATACACTATTATACTATTTATTCTATCTTGAATATTTTGTTTACAAACCAAATTCTAATTTTCTAAATTACAACCAATGAGATTTTACAGATTATATGTTATAGAGTTGAATTTTTCCTCTCTTTTTTAGCTTGTTTTCAAGGTGAACCAGACAGAAGAAAAGAAAAACTATGCAATGTTGTGT